ACAGAACAAGGGGACACTGCATGGTTTAAAATCAAGAAGGGAGTGCGTCAGGGTTGTATCCTTTCACCATACTTATTCAATCTATATGCTGAGCAATAAGCTGTACTATATGAAGAGGTTATGGCATCAAGAGGAAGAATCATTAACAACCTGCGATACACTGATGACACAACTTTGCTTGCTGAAAGTGAGGATGACTTGAAGCACTTACTGATGAAGATTGAACAATATAGTCTGCAGTATGGATTACATCTCAATATAAAGAAAACAAGAATACTCACAACTGGACCTATAAGGAGCATCATGATAAATGGAGAAAAGATTGAAGTTGCCAGAGACTTTACGTTGCTTTGTTCTACAATTGATGTCTATGGAAGCAGCAATCAGGACATCAGACGTATAGCACTGGGCAAATCGGCTGCAGCGGACCTCTTTCAAGTGTTGAGGAGCAAAGATGTCTCCTTGAGGACTAAGGTGGGCCTGACACAAACCATGATATTTTCAATTGCCTCATATGCATGTGAGCACTGGACAATGAATAAGGAAGATGAAGAGCAGATGCTTTTGAGTTATGGTGCTGGCAAAGAATGCTGAAAGTACCATGGACTGCTAAAAGAATGAACAAATCTGTTCTGGAGGAAGTACAGCCGGAATGCTCCTTGGAAATGAGAATGGTCAGACTTTGTCTCACCTACTTTGGTGATGTTGTCAGAAGGGACCATTCCCTGGAGAAGGATGTCATGCTTGATAAGGTGGAAGGTTGACAAAAGAGGGAAAGGCCCTCAACGAGATGGTTTGACACAGTGGCTACAGCGATGGGCTCAAGTATAGTAAGGATTGTGGAGCTGGTGCAGGACAAGGCAGTGTTTCATTCTGTTGTGGATAGGGTCGCTATGAGTCAGAGATGATTCAGTGGTGTCTAACAACAACAACAACAACAACAACAACATCAGTGTAGGCGCTCTGGTGGCATAGGGCCTAAGGCATTTGACTGCTAACCAGAAGGCTGGTAGTTCAAACCCACTAGCCACTCTGCGGAAGGTAGACTGGGCAGTCTACTTCGGTAAAGATTTACCACCTTGGAAAGCCAATAGGGGTTGCTGTGAGTCAGAATCGACTCAATGGCAGTGAGTTTTATTTTGTTTTTTTTTTCAACAGAAGTTAAGTTTCCTCTAAGGATTGTGTCTACCTTTTTCCCTCCTTCCTGTCTGCCCCTGGTAACCATTGATAAACTTTGATTTCTATGTACTTAGCTATTCTAGATATTTCACATAAGTGGGATCATACAATATTTATTTGTTCTTTTGTGTCTGACTTATTTCACTCAGCATAATGTTTTCAATGTAGCATGTCTCAAAACTCTCTTTATTATGGCTGAATAATAGGAATTCTTTTTGATACAATATTTTCTTTAATTTCATCTGCTATTGGCAGAATGTCTTTGTATATGAAGCAAAGCTGGGTTCTTTTAATTTTTAGATTTCTCTTTTAGACATTAGAAAGTGTTTTCAAAGATGTTTTGTTGGTAATATTTGTTTCTTCTTCTACCTTTTTTTTTTTTTTTAAAAAAAAAAAAAAAACACCTCTGTACAGATAAAATTATTGTGGGTAGCTTCATGGGATACCTAAGAATCTTCAACCCTCATCCTGTAAAAACAGGCGATGGAGCTCAAGCTGAAGATTTGCTTCTAGAAGTGCATTTACGGGATCCAATACTGCAAATAGAAGTAGGAAAATTTGTTTCGTAAGTACATTCTACTAATCTAGTACTTTATCTTGAGGATTTCATCCCTTACTGTGTCACTTTTGTGAATTCTTCAAAGAGGAAAAGGCTATCCATGAATCAATATAGTTTCTAGACATTATCGCTTAGATGGTCCTTATGTGTTGAAGGTTTATGTGGAAATCTGTACATTTAAGATAAACTAATTTAGGACCTTTTTATACTACTAATAAGATGCCGGATCTATCAAAAGCTTAAAGGAAGAGAGATAAGCTTTTGAAAATAACAACAACAAAAAAGGAATAGAAAGTGTTCACTTATCTAAAGAACAAATAGCCCACATTATATAAATATTGTTTACATAATTAAGCAAAGTTGCAGATAACCTTTACTTTTTGGCTCATAACTTTGAAGTTTTAAACAAATTATTTATTCTTATTATAGTTTCTTAAAAGAAGCCAACTCAACTTACAAAATGTTCTCTTTACAAGGGCTTTGTTTCAAAATATTTTACTTTTAAATCTAGTTTATTTTAGAAAATTTTGTTAGTTTGTATTTTGTGTATATATGTTTTTTATTTAGTATTGATGTTGCTGATTTTATCTTATTTTCATACTTGAATTTTCTTAAAATTAAGCTTGTTGTCTCAATCCTTCAAAAATATTAAGTGTGAAAAGTTATTATGTAGGTAGAATTGATCTTGTATTCCTTGATCTCCTCTTTCTGATCTCCCTTTTGCTTGCAGGAAGATCCCTGGGTGGTGAAAAAGGTTTGTCTTGACTATTAACCTGAAGGTTGACAATTTGAACCCACCTGGGGAGCTCTGGTGGCATAGTGCCTAAGGCATTTGATTGCTAACCAGAAGGCCGGCGGTTCAAACCCACCAGCCACTTCTCGAAAGGAAGGTTGGGCAATCTACTTCCGTAGTGATACCACCTTGGAAATCCAAGGAGGGTTGATATGAGTTGGATCTGACTCCAGTGAGTTTGGTTTTTGGTTTAGTGGCACCATGGAAGACAGGCCTGGTAATCTGCTCCTGTAAAGATTTCAGCCAAGAATGCCCTGTGGAGCAGTTCTACTCCGTACACATGAGTTGGAATTGACTTGACAGCAACGGCTTTGGTTTTGGTTTTTGCTTACAGGCAGTAAGTGCCCTCTGAAGTTGGGGCAGTGTCTTGTGTGCTGGATTCTGGATCACTTGCCAAGAGCAGATCACCAGGTCTTTCTTTTGTGGTACCACTAAGTCGGTTCAAACTGTCAACCTTTAGGTTAATAGTCAAGCACAAACCATTTGTTCCAGCTAGGGATCTTTCTGCAAGCAAAAGGGAGCTCAGAGAGAGGAGGTCAAGGAAAACAAGATCAACTCTGTGTGCAGGATAAGTTCATTTGCCTGTCATAACTTATTGACCCCAAGTGCCATTTTTTAGATCCCTGCCTTCTGCTAGTAAACACAACATCCCTTCTTGTGATATGTTTCATTCTGAAAGAAAGTTGAAGTTGCAGCCTGGATTTGTTAGGCCAAGTTTTGAGATGGGACTTTTATCCACTGGGACAGGCTGGATCAAGGAGATTTAATGGTTGATGTGGTTGGGAATCACCTACTCCATCTAAAAGCAGATGGTGATTAGGTGCCCATTGTTAGGCATGATGGAGTTATAAAGTAAGGCGACAAAAGGATTCTTTTATCCAAATAGCATTATTTTTCTGGTTTTAAAAATGTATAATCCTATCACAGTCATTCTATACAGTAGTTCCAAGTACGGCTCTCAGCTATGTGATCACTAGTTGGAAGGGGAAGTGGTAAACATGAGTGAGTGGATACTATTCTAGGCCCTGTATAAGTATTGTATCAGTTATCTTATCTATAAGGCAGATATGACCTCCATTTACAGATAAGTAAACTAGAGCTAGGAGCTCTGGTAGCATAGTGGCTAAAGCACTTGACTGCTAACCAGAAGGCTGGTGGTTCAAACCCACCAGCCACTCCTCGGAGGGAAGGTTGGGCAATCCTACTTCCATAGTGATACTGCCTTGGAAACCCAAGGAGGGGTCGCTATGAGTTGGGGCCGACTTGACGGCACATAACAACAACAACAAACTAGAGCTCAGAGCATAAGGTCACACAACCAGGATTCAGACCTAGATCTGTTTAGCTCCGTACTTTACTTTTTTTTTTTTAAACATCATACTCCTTTCCCAGGAGCTCTGGTAGCATAGTGCCTAAGGCACTTGACTGCTAACCAGAAGGCTGGCGGTTCAAACCCACCAGCCACTCCTTGGAGGGAAGGTTGGGCAATCCTACTTCCATAGTGATACTGCCTTGGAAACCCAAGGAGGGGTCGCTATGAGTCGGGGCTGATTCGACAGCAAATAACAACAACAACAACTCCTTTCCCCTTTATTTTGAGGATCCAGAGAACATACAAAAAGTTTTTGAAGGAAATATGAAAATGTGATAGTTGTATGCATTTGTATTTTCCGGGGATGAGTATTTATATATCTATTGTAACAATGTTTTGGAGGTATTATCTAATATTGCAGGATTATCTAATACAATTCACACCTTATAAATGAGAATATAACACTCTGAAAAATTAAATGAAATATTAAGGTGTAGAATCAAACCCTAATCCAGGCTTTCAGTTTTTAATTATAGTCCTCATAATTTAGATTTATATCAGAGTTTATGTCCTGGAGGCCTGCTTGTAGATAGGGACTAAATATCAAACAGAAATAAACTACCAATATCACCACTATACTTCCCAGCCTATCCAGTGTTTTCTAGCATGGTTGTTGTTGTTGTTATGTGCCATTTGAGTCAGACCCGACTCATAGCAACCCCTCCTTGGGTTTCTGAGGTGGTATCACTACAGAAGTAGATTGCCCATCCTTCCTTCCGAGGAGTGGCTGGTAGGTTTGAACCGCCAGCCTTCTGGTTAGCAGTCAAATGCTGTAGGCACTACGCTACCACAGCTCCCATATAGCATGGTATGCTCTAGAAATCCCAAATTCAAAATCAATGTCAAGCAGGTAGATATAAATAAATAAAGGGTATAAATAACCCATGATCAAATGATGACTGATAGAGGTGGCTACTGCTACTCAGTTCTGGGCTTATGGCCAGATCTCCATATTTTTAAAGAAAAACCAGAGAGCAGGGATTTTTATGGGAAATTTCCTGGTTCTTAAATGTTGGCAAATCTTTTAAATTTGAAGCCTCTTATTTTGCAGTGAGGAAACAGGCTCAGAGAGATTAAGTGACTTGCCCAAGGTCATAGGTTAAGCAGTCAGAGAGCCCTTAGAACTCTTTACTGTGGGAGAGCATTCATGAAGGGGCCTTCGATATGACTCTTTCCTGCAGGCTCCATTGACTTGGTGGCTCTTTGAGGCCAAGTATTGAATCTCTGGGATTACCAAAATGGCCATTTGTTATTACATGTATTTTTAAATTCAGAATGTTATCTGATCTGGTAAGTTGCTTAGTTTACCCACAGTAGGCTGAAGTTATGATCTCTTTTGAAAATTATTTATCCTTTTTGTATTATATCTAAAATTAATATTTTAAAATTTTCCACATTTTTCAGAGGTACTGAGATGCTTCATTTGGCTGTTTTGCATTCTAGAAAACTTTGTGTCTACTCTATCTCAGGTAAGAAATATTTTTTTCCTAATATAGAAGTCATATTAAGAACTGGGCTTCTGAGTATTGTGCAAGAGTGGATATTCTTTAGCATTGACTTGATAGTGAACACAGAACATTCAGCTGAAGATTTTCTTGTTCTTGTTTTTCATTTTCCCATTGTTCATTTATTTTTTCAGATACTTTGACTGTTACTTTTTCAGGGTCTGTTATTTCAGTGCATGCTTATATTTCTGGTAGAAGGTTCCTTATAATCTCCTTCATCGCAGGAATTGTGTTCATAATTGCCTATGGCTAAAAGAGGCCAATTCTGAACACTTATGACACTTGAGCCTTAAGCAATGCTCCACAACAACAAAGTTCATTAGATGCTGAGTCATAGTGATTTAAAGTATATTTTCTTTGGTGAACCTCAAGTGTTCCCTCTTTGCAGTTCTAATTTCTTGGCTTCTGGTTGTCTTTACTGAACCAGACTTCAAGGCTCTTAGTTTGAAGCTTAATCAGGTTTCATTTGCTAACATGGTTCTCTGGCTACAAGTATGGGTAGTTAATTGTGGTTTGGTTTCAGCATTTTGACTCTTATTAAATATAAAAGGTAACCTTTTTGTTCTGTTTGTTATTAGATGAATGTTAGTTCAAAACTAGAGAGTTATTTTTGTGGATGTCAATGTTGTTATGGGTACAATGAAGTTAAGAGTGTGTGGGGTGATCTTTTCTGTAAAACATACTCCCTTTTGGAGTTTACTGTATTAATTTCTAGGATTTGGATTTCTCAGGCTCATTCTTTTGATTTGGTCTTTCTTTGATTTTGCTTTTAGATTTGAGTAATGATTTATGTTTTTGTTATTGTTCAAATACATCTTTGTTTGTAAGTAGTCTCTTTTTGGGATAAAAATCTGTTAGATGCCTAATGCAGGCTTTGTAATCTGGGCAATGGAATAGGCATACTTCATTTTCATTGCACTTTGCTTTATCATGCTTTGCAGATACTGCATTTTTTACAAATTGAAAGTTTCTGACAACTGCAAGTCTATTAGTGCCATTTTTCCAACACCATATGCTTACTTTGTGTCTCTGTGTCACATTTTGTTAATTCTAACAATATTTGAAACTTTTTAATAATGCTATTGCACACTTTACAGACTATGGTATGATGTGAGCATAACTTTTATATGTACTGGGAAACCAAAAAGCTCGTGTGACCCACTTTATTGTGATACTTGCTTTATTGTGATGGTTTGGAACCAAATCTGCAATATCTCTGAGGTGTGCCTGTATATGGTAGACATCTGAGAACTACTCACTGTTTTGGTTGTCACTCCAAGAGAAGATACCACAAATGGGTGACTTTAACAAACAGGAGTTTTATTCTCTTATAGTTTAGGAGGCTAGAAGTGCAAGTTCAAAGTGCCAGCTCTAGGGGGTAGGTGAAAGCCCCTCGACCTTGGGGTTCAGCTCTGCCTCTTGTTACTAGCCTGCAGGAGCTGGAAGTGTCTTTTCACTCAGAGGCTTACTGCAGAGGCTGACAAACCCAAGGCCCACATATAAAATGGCACAGTCCCAGGATTACCAAACAACATGGAAAGTTGCTAGTTCAAGTCTAGAGACAGTTCAAGATCATCAGAAAACATGGCAGGCTGCTGACTGAACACTTGGCTACCTGCAGGGTCCAAGCATGCCAAACATCTGCAGAAACCTTTGTTAAAACTTCTCCTTTTATATTGGAAGCAGATCACATTTCTAAGACAGCTATATACCTGCTCTAGTAGGTTCCACCTCTAATAGAGTTGATTACCAGTCTCATCATGGGGAATAATTACATTCAGCTGTCCAGCCACTGAAATCCATGCCCAGCCAAGATGATACATAACTTACTACCACACTCATTGAATGAATGAGTGAACCCATTTCTGAGTAGTGCTGAGGCAGTTGGTAGTGACTGTCACTCATGACCACGTGCTGTTTGCTTTCTGTCTTCTTTTCCTTCTTTATTACCACTATCACTTTCTTTTCCACTCTGTTTATATCAGTATTTCTCATTGTTATTGTTAAAAACTCACATTGATTACAGGTTAAAAATTTTGCTCCTCCTATTGATAGAGCACGTATTTAGTGTTCCACAATAGATGGAGAAGGTATAATATAGGCTATTTTATTATATAGATCTAGTTGTTCCTCTGTTTTTGAACATAGCCTGTTATCTGCAAGCAGTATTATACAGGAATATCTCATACTGTAGGTTGCCACAACCCTTCAGTTTGTAATAAGGCAATATCTATGAAGCACAATTATGCAAAGTGCAGCAGAACGAGTCATGCCTGTACCAACTGGGTTACACATGCCATTGAAGGGGAGAATGAAGGGGAGAACTTGACTTCAGTTATGCCTGATTACTGCTTGGAGAATTGCTCCCTTCTAGAGGTTCTATACGGATTCTCAGTAGGACAGAAGAAGGAACCATCCTAGAACTAGATTACATTAGACTCTTGGCCTTCCCTGGTCTTGCTTGAGCTATTGTCAAGAAAGCAGACAACTTTAGTGCCATCAGATCTTAAGAATAAGTATGTTTTTCAAAAAAGCCTACTAAAAGAAACTGGCATGCTTGGTCACAACTTGTTTATGGGATATTTGCCTCCTCCTTGAAATTATTGTTGAAAATGAAAATTATTTGCTAGGGGAATGGTGATTTTATTACTCTTTTATTCTCATTTATTTAAAAGATTTATATTCTCTGGGGGAGCTCTGTGCCTAAGGCATTTGAGTGCTAACCGAAGGCTGGTGGTTCAAACCCACCAGCCACTCCTTGGAAGGAAGATTGGGCAATCTACTTTTGTAGAGATAGAAATATGCCTTGGAAACCCAAGGAAGAGTCGCTGTGAGTCAGAACCTACTCGATGAAAGTGAATTTTTTTTGTTTGTTTGTTTCTGGGACTAGGAGTTGTCCAAACTATGTTCCCTTCTGCCCCACATCACTTCCCTTCTCTGTCTCCCATTTCTTCAGCCTCTTATGATATTTGTAGGCTGACAGTTTGTGTGTTTTTCTTGGCTGGGCTTAAATTGAGAAGCAGGGGAAATTAATGTTTTTATTCTTCTGAATATGTCTCTTGAGATTCCAGGCAGAACTTTTACCTGACTTCTACTATAACAGGGAAAGTTGAAAGATTTTCTACTTTAAGTAAAACTACTGGTGTCAGCAGATGAAAGTGTTAGTTGAACTTGACATCCTCACCAGTACCCCCTCCTCAAATATTTTTCCTTTTCTTTTATGCTCTGTGTGCTTCTGAAAAAGATTTGAGGCAAACTAGAGGAGACCTTTTAAAGTCCTTTTCCAGGACATAGCGAACAACCCTTAATAGTTAGAGGCTACTATGCTGACTTCTTTATGTCATCAAATGCATGCTTATATATAGAAACAGTGGGGTTCGGTGCCCTGCACTTAGGCCATCTTAGCATGCTCTGGTAAAGGGAAAGCATCATTGAGCATCTCAGATTCCTTTCTGATGGGCTTTACTTTTTGGTAAATGGTTACAGATGTATGGCTTAAGCCAAACTGATTAGTTTTTTTTAAATATATATTTTTTTTTTCCTCAAAAATTGTGTACTTCTCAAAAAGCATTTAGTAAGGATTTGACCCCTATTTATAGAATTTTAATGGTTGCCATGGGAGGGACAGAAAAGATGTGGTTCTTTTGACAGGCTTATAACTTTTTTTTTTTTTTTTTTTTTGAACACAATGAATCTTTTAACTTACTCTGTAATGGCTTTGATTTCATTTAACATCATTAGATATGCTCAGCATTTATCTAAAATTGCCCTGAAAACTGCTGTCAGGGTGACCTTGGATTTTCCAGAGAATATTTTTGTTTAAATTAGATCTTGTTTAAATAAGCCCAAAAGCATAAATGTTCTACTATCCCCTTACTTTCTAATTGATGAAACTTTGTATTAACTTTCATTGTACATAGACTATAGTTATACATATATACTTACTATATCCAGTCTATATGTCCAAGGGCAAAAACCTATGTAAGCAATTCTAATCTTACGTCAATTATGCTTCTAGAAAATTTTTACTTTATCAGGTACTACCTTCATTCCAAGATAGTATCTAAGGAAGATCATTTGCCTTTGTTCTCATGGCTATATGATCAAGTTATAAAGTGCCATAATCTGAAACTTTAAGATTTACCAGTGCATTTGTAGTTTTTAAAGAAAACAAATCTTAGTGCCATGTCATGCCAAGACTGTTTAAATATTGGGTTCTGACTCTTGTGCTCCCTGACATGAGTTCCTGATGCTCCCACCAGTCAGTTGACAAACAGTCATGCTATGTGCATCCCTTATTCAGAGGGCTACTCTGGTTTTAGGATGCCTGGGTGGTGCAAACAATTATAAGTTTGAGTACTAACCAAAAGATTAGTGGTTTGAGTCTACTCAGAGGCACCTTGGAAGAAACCTGGTGATCTACTTCCATAAGGTCATGGTCATTGAAAACCCTATGGAGCACAGTTCTACTGTGAAACACATGGGTTGCTATGAGCAGAACTGACTTGATGGCAACCATATATTTTTCTCACTGGTTTTAGGTGCAATATGAAGTTTATAATTTCTGAAGGACAAATCAGGTGCCTCTTGTAGTGTCTTTTTCTAGTTTCTCTGAGGCTTGAACTCTCCTCATGTTAAAACTTTGACTTATTTGGCTGTATTTTTTACCCATGTGGCTGATTTGGTTGTGATTACCCCTTGTTTTCTCTGACCTCCCTGATTTAATTAATTAAACCAGGCAAGAGACAATGAAAAAGCTCAATAGCTTCAGGGAAAACAAGGCCAGGAGCTGATTGTGAAACAGACCATCAACTGCTCATATGCAAGTTCAACTTGAAGTTGGAGACAATTAAAACAAGTCCACAAGAGCCAACATATGACCTTGATTATATCCCTCCTGAATTTAGAAACCATCTAAGGAATAGATTTGATGCATTGAACATCAGTGACTAAAAACCAGAGGAATTGTGGGATGACATCAAGAACATTATCCATGAAGAAAGCAAAAGGTCATTAAAAAGACAGGAAAGAAGAAAAGACCAAAATGGATGTCAGAAGAGACTCTGAAACATACCCTTGAATGGAGAGTAGCTAAAGCAAATGGAAGAAATGACAAGATAAAAGAGCTGAACAGAAGATTTCAGAGAGAAGCTTGAGAAGACAAAAGTCAATTATTATAATGAAATGTGCAAAGACGTGGAGTTGGAAAGCCAAAGGTAAGAACATGCTTGGCATTGTCAAGTTGAAAGAGCTGAAGAAAAAATTTAAGCCTCGAGTTGCAATGTTGAAAGAGTCTATGGGCAAAATATTGAGTGACGCAGGAAACATCAAAAGAAAATGGAAGGAATACACAGAGTCACTGCACCAAAAAGATTTGGTTGATGTTTATCCATTTCAGAAGGTGGCATATGATCAAAAATCAATGGTATTGTGGGAAGAAGTCAAAGCTTTGCTGAAGGAATTGGCAAAGAACAAGGCTCCAGGAATTGATGGAATACCCATTGAGATGTTTCAACAAACAGATGCTGCACTGGAGGCACTAACTTGGCTATGCCAAGAGATTTGGAAGACAGCTACCTGGCCAATTGACTGGAAGAGATCTGTAACTGTACTCATTCCAAAGAAAGGTGATCCCACAGAATTGTGGAAATTATTGAACACTATCATTAATATGGGAGCTCTGGTGGCGTAGTGCCTAAGACATTTGACTGCTAACCAGAAGGCTGGCAGTTCAAACCCACCAAGCACTCCTCGGAAGGAAGGTTGAGCAATCTACTTCCATAGTCATACCACCTCCGAAACCCAAGGAGGGGTTGCTATGAGTTGGATCCAACTCGACGGCAGTGCATTGTGTTGTGTTGCATTATCATTAATACCACATGCAAGTAAAATCTTATGGAAGATAATTAAAAATGGTTGCAGCAGTATATTGACAGAGAACTTCTAGAAATGTAAGCTGGATTCAGAAGATGACATGGAATGAGGGATATCATTGCTGATGTCAGATGGATCTTGGCTGAAAGCAAAGAATACCAGAAAGATATTTACTTGTATTTTATTGAGTATGCAAAAGCATTCAATTATATGGATCATAACAAATTATGGATAACATTGAGAAGAATGGGAATTCCAGAACACTTAATTGTACTCACAAGGAACCTGTACATAGACTAAGAGGCTGTCATTTGAACAGAACAAGGGAACACTACACGGTTTAAAATCAAGAAGGGAGTATGTCAGTGTTGTGTCCTTTCACCATACTTATTCAGTTTGTATGCTGAGCAGATAATCTGAGAAGCTGGACTATATGAAGAAGAACATGACATCAGGATTGGAGGAAGACTCATTAACAGCCTGTGATATGCTGATGACACAACCTTGCTTGCTGAAACTGAGGATGACTTGAAGCATTTACTGATGAAGACTGAAGTCTGCAGAATGGATTGCACTTCAATATAAATAAAGTAAAAATCCTCACAACTAGGCCAGTAAGCATCATAACGATAAATGGAGAGAAGGTTAAAGTTGTCAAAGACTTCATATTACATGGTTCTACAATCAACACCAATGGAAGCAGCAGTCAAGACATCAGGTGACGTATAACATTGGGCAAATCTGCTGCAAAAACCTATTTGAAGTGCTGAAGAACAAAGATGTCTCCTTGAAGACTAAGGTGTGCCTGACACAAGCCATGGTATTTTCAGTCGCCTCATATGCATGTGAGAGCTGGACAATGAGTAAGGAAGACCGAAGAAGAGTTGGTCTTTTGAGTTGTGGTGCTGGCGAAGAATGCTGAAAGTACCATGGACTGCTATGCTAAAAGAAGGAACAAGTCTGTCCTGGAGGAAGTGCAGCCGGAATGCTCCTTGGAAGCAAGAATGGCCAGACTTCATCTTACCTACTTTAGTTATGTTGTAAGAAGAGAACTTTCCTTGGAGAAGGATATCACGCTTGATAAAGTGGAGGGTCAACAAACAAAGGGGAAGGCCCTCAATGAGATAGATTGACACAGTGGCTACAATGATGGGCTCAGGTATGGCAAGGATTGTTGGGGTGGCACAGGACCAGGCAATGTTTCATTCTGCTGTACATAGGGTCACTGTGAGTCAGAGACGACTCGATGGCACCTAACAACAACAACATTGTGATTTGGGTGGAAGTTTACAGAGCAAATTGGTTTTCCATTCAATAATACAGACACATATTTCTGTTTTGTGACATTGACTGTAATCCCCATACTGTAACAGCATCCTTCTCACTTCCTCCCTGCGCCTACCCCTTCCCTTCATCCTTCCTTCCAGTCCTCTTCCCTTCCTAGCTCTAGCCCTAGGCAAATGCTGTCCCCTTGATTTCATAGAGGCTTGATTGTTCTAATGAGTGCTTGCCCTCCTGGTATTACTGTTCACCATATAGGCCTGTCTATTGTTTGGCTGAAAGTTGAGTCATGGGGATTAAGTTTAGTTCCTAGCTTGAAGGGTGTCTAAGGGCCATAGTCTCAGGGTTCCACCAGTGTTCATCAGACCAGTATGCTCGCTTTTTTTTTTTTTTTTTCTTTTTTTTATGCTTTTGAGTTTTGTTCCACATATCCCCCCACTCTATCTGGGACCTCCTATTGTGATCCGTTTCAGAGTTTACCTCATTGATTTTAATATCTTTCAGATTTAAGAAAGCCTTGGTGTCCTCCCAAGGAGCTCTGTGGTAGTATGTTTGAAGCATTAGTTTACTAATCAGAAAAAAGATTGGCAGTTTGAACTCACCAGCTACTCTGTGGGAAAAGATGAGGCAGTCTTCTTCCATAAAGATTTACAGCCTTGGAAACCCTGTAGGGCAGTTCTGCTTGTCCTGTAGGGTCTCTGTGAGTTAGAAATGACTTGATGGCAGTGGGTAGATTGGTCTCTTACCAGGTTAGCTGGTAAATTTGAGTCTTTCTCTTTGTTTTTTATTCTACTGGTATGTGAAGTTTATTGTCCCCATTCTTAGGGGCATAGAACTGAATAGAAGTGATTCTCCTCCAAGATATCCTCCCCTGTCAGTTTTTCTCTATCAACCCTCAACTTCGAAATAAGAAAGGGCAGGCCAGGCTGAGAAAGGAGCAGATGGAAGTGGCATATTCTTGATGCTCCTTTTGGGAAGGTTGTCATTGGTGTACCATGGGCAGTACAGTCTTTACTGGGATTAGGACCAAATTCTCTCAAAGGTTGTTAAAACCATGAACTGATGGACAACTAGGCATCAAAGTATATAGCATCTGACTCTCAAGACCTGGTTTGAGTCCAAGGCCCTTTACTAGCTGTGTGATATTGGGGACTTATCTTAAATTTTTTTGAACTTAAGTTACTTCAATTCTAAAATGGAGATAAAAGTGATTCTATTTTTATAACCTTAGTATATGTTGGTAAATCCTTGTGCACCTCCACCACAACAGCAACAACAATAAAAACCTAAGTAAATAAATGTTCATATATAATTACATACCTACGTACCACGTGCCATATATTAAGATTGTTGTAATGATCTAATGCTATCTTAAGGTTGATAGTTTCATTGTTTTAATGATATTAATATATTTTGTTAAGCTTTTGCCTTTTTGAATGAATGAATGAAAAAGATGCTTCTTTATGGAAAGTGTTGATTTCTGAATCCTTTTCCTTTCCAACACCTATTTCAGCCATAATGTTGTTGCCTGATCCCTGGAATATAGTGGCAACTTTAACTGTTCGAGCAGACCTATTACCAGAGAGGGAAGTACAGATGAAGACTCTTCTCTCATTTGAAAAGAACTAGAAAATAATTTTTAGCACATATAATCTATGTAGGTGCTCTGGTGGTGCAGTGGTTAAGGCATTCAACTGCTAACCAAAAGGTTAGTGGTTTGAACCCACCAGCTGGCTGTAGGAGAAAGACAAGGCAGTTTACTTCTGGAAAGATTTACAGCCTTGGAAACTTTATGGGGGTCACTATGAGTTGGAATTGACTTGATAGCAGTGGATTTTTTTGTATGATCTATGAAATGCAGAATTATTACTTTTCTTTGTTTTGAAACAGATTCTTCTTGGCAGACTTCAAATAAAAAACATTGTCCTACTTGCCAAGGAAAGCTTAGATCTCTCCATTAAATTAAAATATAATATATTAGGGGCTTGAGTATTTTAAGAGTTGGGGCAGGAAATTGAATTGCAAGAAAGTGTGAGAACTTTTCTCCTAAGACACATTGAGTCATTTCTTGACTTTATTAATGTTTATAAGTGCAAAGAATTTAACCTCATTTATTTTAACACTGAAATTGGAGTGTGTTTGTTGTTATTTAAATGATTAAGCTTTACTCAGACATAATCTGTCTTATAAAAATAGATAATAAAATGGCACCAAGGGTTGTATTTCATCTAATAGTATAATTTAGCAGAGGCTTAAATTATGTTAACTTTGCCAGTATTCTGTCATTAATATGCTAATTATTCATAATGTGTAACATTTTAGTTCATAATATGTAACATTGACATTTTAAATTTCAGTGAGATTGAATTACTTAGAATTGGTGTAGAGGATGAGAAGAAATTTATGTTTTATAATAAAAACAAATACACAACAATTCTTTTTTATTTCCTTAGGAACTATGGGTAATGTGGAACATGGCAACCAATATCAGATCAAATTGATGTATGAACATAATCTTCAGAGGACAGCCTACAATATGACTTATGGATCATTTGGTGGTGTAAAAGGTAATTTGCATTTAATCATGAATCTGTTATTGCATATTTAGAACATTTGTCCATATGTAAATGGATTATTATGTTGTATGTATCTCAGAGATTCATATTTTATTGAAACCTTTGTATTCAAACACTCAAGCAAAATCAGAACGAAAAAGAATACTTTAAATAGTGAATGTGTTTGATTTTCAAATAACCAACACTTTTAATGGTCTAGAGGGAATCTAAAATTGCCTTTTCTACAAATTTTGTCTTTTATATATGAATTGTTTTTTTGAGCTTTCTCATGGTGGAACCATGTGTCTCAGCCTCTCATGGAAGGAGTTGACCTTCTTGCTGGCAGGGAGTCTCTGGTATACCTGCTACGGAAAGGGTGAGGCTGCAAACTCCTCTCTCCACACCACCCCCCTCCAAGGCTGCTACATAGGGTTGTGCAGGTTATTCCTGCACAAGAGTGCCTGGTTGAGGGGCCAAGCAATTGAAAACCAGTCTTGCTCTCACTTGTTGAGCCCTGTGCCCTGGCTTGGGTTAAATTCATCCAGAGGATGGGGGCACTTTGCAAAGTTTACAAGATGCTACCTTTAGCAAGGAGTGAGTGAGGCTGAGTCTACCCAGGTTGTGTATTCTAAAATTAGCATGAGGGCAATCTGTAGCATGCTCACTCTAGTCCCAAAGCTTCCAGAATTACCAAATCTGGTGCTCTGTGTGTATGCTGTTGCTATTCATGTGGGAGTGTTTTTATTTTCAACTTAATCCTCTCTTTGCTCCATGATGTGGTGTGGGTGGGCTGGTGATGCTGCATTGAGGACAGGAAGCCAGGTGATGATGCTTTCTTACCTCTGTGGTTTTGTCTGTGTGTTTGTGTGCATACGTGTGTGTCAACTGCAAAGAGTGAGTGAGGAGTTTATAATATGTTAGCTTTTTTTGGGCTCACATTTTTATGAGTTTATTCTTTAATATTTGCTTTAAAAAGTAGGCTACTATGAGATTTTTCTTTAGTGAGATGAGAAAAAGACTTTATGTGAAAGTATATCCTTTATTCATGTGAATTCCATGTTTTTATACATAGTGGTAAAAACAAGGAGTAGAGAAGAATTTGGGCATACCAATTAGTTATAAGAACCATTTTTTTTTGTGGTGATATGCAAATAAATGTTGTGGAGAACTAAAGTAATATAAAATCATTTGACTGGATTGCAGAACTGCTTAATTTGAGTAACAGGAATGCTTGGACTATTTGAGGATATGGGAGAAGTCTCAACTTCGGTGAAGAAAGGAGAGAAAGACCTAAGATTTAGATGACAGGCTAACTTTTGTCGGTGAAGTGTCTCTTCCCCCCATCCTCTGCTACTTAAAAAAAAAAAAATGCCTGACGTGACTGGAGAAACTTGAGTTCCCATATTGAACTACCTTTTTTCAATTTTCTTTCTACCACCAAATTCTCCAAAGACAAGGTACTAAATTCTGTATATGTTGTTGTTGTTGTTATGTGCTGTCGAGTCATCTCCAACTCTTAGCAACCCCTCCTTGGGCTTCTGAGGCGGTATCACTATACAAGTAGATCTCCCAGTCTTCCTTCTGAAATTCTATATGTATAGAGTCCCAAATATTATGACATGAGAAAAAAAGTGCTTTGGCTTAATGAAAGTAAGATGGTTTTTTTTTTTTTTTTTTTGGTAGCATCAAGACAATTCTCTTTATATCATATCAAATATTATCTTGTATAACTTGAATTGTACACTTTATTTTATTATAAGATCAATCATGATAACTCAAGTAAAATAAATAAATCCCTTGCTCTTGTGTATCATTTTTGCTGGATTTTATAATGGACCTCTAAAGTAATGATAGTTGTTAATAGCTTTGAAAAGAAAGATAACTGTATACTTAGGTGTTCTCTTTTTTTCCTGTAGCTCTTAAATGATGGCTTTGTATTGAAAAATAACTTTTGGAGAAACACGGGGCCATTCTGACATGTTTTGCTTTCTTGTGGCAGAAAATTTCACAATTTGAAACAGAGAAATAAATATCTCAGTAGCAGAAGGAGTAATTTCATTTCATGAGCTTGAAACAATTACATAATTATGTAATGCCACTGAAGTGTCTACAAGAAGACATGAAAAAAACAATAGAGTGGTCAATTAGTAAAAACTAACCACATTGTGGGGAGAGAATGGGAAGATACTGCTAATGGGTATGGGTTTCTTTTTGGGATAATGAAAGTATTCTAAAATTAGATTATGATGATGGTTGCATAACTTCATAAGTGTACTAAAAACTATGGAGTTGATATTTTAAAAGAGTAGACATTATGGTATCTACTTTGTATCTCAATAAAGCTGTTTTTAAAAAATTAGCCAGGTGGTAAATCCTAATGTTGGAGAGGCAGCAGTACAAGCTACACTATCATACTTTGCTCATGGCTGGATAAAATGCTGCAACACTCTTATAAGGTAGATTGGCTATTAAGAACCATGTAAAGTTTCTTGGATGTCATAATACGGCTTATGGGAATTTATATTAGGAAACATCCAAACTATGTAATAGTCACGTTGAGTTGCCATTTATTTCAGTTATCTTTCTGTCCTCTTTTTCTTCTTTCTGTATGCACATACAGTATATGTATTTATTTGTGGCATAGAAAATTTAGAAGTGATCTAAATGAGTAATAGAGAAAAATTAAGTATTGCTGCATTGATTCAGTGATTACTATGAAGCTACTAAAACTATTTTTTGCTGAAATGAGAATCTTTGTGCATTAATCTTTCTTCTTATTTTTATTATTTCCTTATGATAGTATCTGGGAGTGGAGTTACAGAACCAGAAGGTTGTAATATATTTTTTTCCCAATATTCAAGTAATCCTACCCCCACTTACAGTATTCACAAAATTGTAAAAAGTACAGAATTTAGGAAGAAGAATGTAAGTCATTCCAAGATATGCACATTTCAAAAGAAAGCCTGTTTTCTAAGCTGTCTGTAGTGTGTATCTAATGTGCTATTCTTTTAATTTGAAAACACTGAAATTGATCTGAATTTAAAAAAGAAAACATAAAAATTCTTTTCTACCTTTCACTATATTTTAGTATGCCTTCTTGTGGGATTATGAAGTTAAGTAATGATGTCAGTAATTCTCAAGAAAGGAATTAAGCAAAAAGAAAATTTGGCACAATTTTTAACAAGTGGGTTTGAAATACCAGAAAGCATTGATAGATTTGTTTGTATGTGCATTAGAGCAGAATGCCACTAGATGGCAGTCCTGTACAAATTTGGGCTTTGGTACTGCCTTTGACTCAAAAAAAAAAAAAAAAAACCCAAACAAAACTCACTGCCCTGGAGTTAGAACCGACCCATAGCGACCCCTTCTTGGGTTTCTGAGGCGATATCACTATGGAAGTAGATTACCTAACCTTCCTTTTGACTTAGGTACCTTAAAAAAATCACTACTGGAGAATTTTTGACCTTAAAATAATGCTTTATTTTTTTCTAAAAATAAATTTAATTTTTTCTTTATGTTGAACTTAGAACACTGCCTAGTGCAGAGTAAGCACTAAATAAACAGTAAGATTAACAGGATTTTTTTTAAAGAATTATCTGATTGTAATGGCTAACATCTCATAGAATATAATGTCCAAGTGCTTTCTAGTTGCGCTTCTCAAACTTTAATTTGCATTTGAGTCACCCAGGATCATGTTAAAAATGTAGGTTCTGCTCACCCAGTCCAGGGTGGGGCCTATGATTCTGAATTTTTGACAGCCTTGCAGGTGATGCCAAGTAGGAAAGACCTAGAGGTGTGCTGCAGCCCTATATCTACTGTGCAGCATTCAAAGTGCCTACCAGACTGAATAACTCGCTAAAGATATACTTAGTAAGTGGTAGAGGAGGGATTCTATCCCATGTTCACTGCTTCCAGAAGCTTGTGTTGTTAACCACCCTAAATTGCCTTCCTATCTAACAACAACAACAACATCTAGGCTGTGAGTAAATTTGCCTTCTTCCTGTTTCAGAAAAAAGTTTCCTTTCAGAAAGGCAGGTGTACCTTACTTTGGCCAAAGTTAGTGCATAGCTTTGATTCTTCACAAATTGTGGAAAACATGTTGAATAACTCCTGGGTCAGATATTTACCTTCTCAGTTACATTTTTTCGTTTAATGCTTTGGCTTTTAAGAAAAGTCCTTTCTCCACCAAAAAGTATTCATAAAACAATGTGATAGGGCAATATGTTATTTGAAACTTGCAAAAAAGTACTGTTTTTATTTTTTTTAATCTTTGTTGTTTGTTAAGAAAATGTTTCAGAACATCTTAGGTACAATCCTTTAATTCAGTAAAATTTGACTCTATTTCAAGTTATGGGCAGATACTTATTAAAGAAAAAGTACAAAGAAATAGGAAATCTGGTTTTATAAACTAGTTGAAGAATATTTGCCTAGTATCTCCCATCATTCAGACTATTACCTATCATTCTAGACTTTAAATTGAAATTCTTTCCATATTATACTTTTAAGCGGAAGTGACTGAAATGTACTATATTAATGACTGTATTACACTAATGACTATATTAGGAGCTCTGGTAGTATGGTGCCTAAGGCATTTGACTGCTAACCAGAAGGCTGGTGGTTCAAACCCAACCGTCACTCCTTGGAAGGAAGGTTGGGCAATCTACTTCCGTAGTGATACAGCCTTGGAAACCCAAGGAGGGGTCGCTATGAGTCTGAGACGACTCTACGGCACATGACAACAACAACGACTGTATTGGACTTCTAGGAGTGGCATAGGGCCTAGGGCATTTGACTGCTAATGCTAACCAGAAGGCTGGCAGTTCAAACCCACCAGTCACTCCTCATAAGGAAGATTGGGCAATCTCTTTCTGTATAGAGACACTGCCTCGGAAACCCAAGGAGGTTATGAGTTGAAATAGACTCGACAGCAGTGAGTTGGTTTTTTTTTTTTTTGGTTTTTATTGGACTTCTATTTTGCAGAGAGAGTGTAGGGAGATATTTTAAAATACTTG